ATTTTTAAGCTAAAATTGCCTGTACTTATGTATGTAACTTTTGACTTGTTCTGTATCCAAAGGTACTAACCTGCTTAGGATTTATAGAATGTAAATAAATTCAATTCAAAATTCAATTCAACAATTAGTATCACTTTTACTGCTTCTGCGATTTCACTCACTCGTTTCAACTAATTCGGCGAATGCTAGACTTCGACTGTACTCGACGGCGACTATCTTCAAACTCTGTCTTCCAACCTCGGCTTCTGCGGCGGCTATGTTTCAACTGAATGCATCTGTGTTGGGCAGTCAAAGTCAAAGTCACATTGCGATTGACGGTCGGTCAGTCAGTCAGTGAGTCTTGGTGTCGAGCCCATCTGGGGCTCATGACCAAATATTAATTATTACCTTTGACAGTTACGGTCTTGCTTCTGTGGGGCGCCCTCTCTGACGAGAGGACGGGTCTGTCTTTTGTATATGCTGCTGGTCCTTGCCAGTGCAGTCTTTCTTGGTTCCAAGTCCCTTGAGACTTGCGACCATATTTTACTGTCTCAGATTTGAGACACGGCCCCCTTATATAGGCGTTTTTCGAACCGCTTGGTGGACATCGTCTTCAACAGTTCGGTTTCACGTGTCCTACGCTGGTTACCGCGGAAGTGGTTCGTTTCTACGTTTTCAGTAATCCGCTGTTATCGCAACGAATCCTCTGTTGTCCTTTCATCTGGGGAAAGCGTTTGTTGCTCAGGTCATTCCCAGGCAACGGCCCACTGTTATTGCGTTTCCATGGAAGTAACTCTTCCGGATTCCAAACAAGTGACAACATAAAGGAAACCGAATCCTTCTTTTTCCTAGAATAGAATAAAATACACTTGACCCTCCACTGACTTTCGTAATTCCGTGGTGTTGAGTCCTTGAGGTCACCAGTCGCTCAGCTACTCAAGAATTTCCCAGAATTTTATAGAACCCTAAGGCTCATTATTGTGTTCACAAGAGCTCTCCACTGGTCATTATCCTGAACCAGATCAATCCAATTCACACCAATCCATCGTAGCTCTCTAAGATCCATTTTGTTTCCTTTCGGATATAATGTAATTAGCAATTGTTGAGTATTTGAATTTATGAACAAAGCCTATTTAACCTTTTGTATAGAGTTTACCTTATAAATCATCATTTAAGAGCACATTACACGTTTATAGACAAATATGGAGGGGAGAATAAAACATTTAAAATACGAATAGTTTCTTTGTCTTTCCGCTTTTGCGGATGTTTCTTACGTCGAGAGTTTACATGTGAAAGACCAAGAGTGTTAGCTTTCTTAAAGAACTGGAAATTAGTGGTCAAGGGGTAGAGCCTGTTATCTCATATGGCCTTCTGTGGGGCACAAAATAAAATGATTCTCATTTGTAATAAGATGACATCCTTAAGTTCTTCCAAATGAATATTGTTCACTTAAACTTTTGCGTCTTCATGTTATGTACATGAGAATAATATCACAATTGCAACAGACATACGTGTATATTCAGTGATATTAAATCTTAGATCTTAGCTTTGTATTTCACGTTACCATTTTGAGGCCAGGAACTTTATTTCGCAAACTAAGTCACAGGGCATAGACGTCAGCCTACTTTATTTCATCCTTCAGCCTACCTTTTTTTGTTAAGGAAAGAACGCAGGTTTATAAGACCGCTATGAGCATCTCTGTCAGTGTCTTCGTGTTTGTCTATAAAACTCCCGTTTTTTTTACTTTTGAACTACCTGGCCGATTCCTGGGAGAAATGTTGTGGACCTGATATCGTTAGACTGTCCATACTTCTTCCTTTTCTTTTTCTACAACCAGTAATGGCAACATGATTGACATATAACTTGGGAGGCGGAAGTGACATTAGCAATACGTAATATTGTCACGTGTCCGGGGTTCCGTGACGAATATTAACGGGTTCTGGCATGGGTGATTGCATTTACAGGCATTTCAGTTACAATTGCAACCAATTATAAGAGCTCATAACCAGTGACTAAGACTAGCTCCATTCCTTACTGGATTACGAGTGTCTTCTCTTCTATGACTGATTTGGTTCTGATTTACGAATCGGTCACTTCTTCATCTTCCGTTGTCTGCTGGTTAGCACTCCACAGCTGAAAACTCAGCTACCCTTACGAATGAATCCAATGAATTCACTATTGAACTCTCTTTTACAATTCGGGGAGAACCGATAAGAGACCATCACTTCGAACAATTCGTCTCTTATTATCTGTTTCATCCGTTGCTATGAGACTTGTGTTAGTTTCGTAGCAACGGCCCATTGCGGAGGACTTCCTACCCAGCAACGGAGGTCCTTCCACTTTTGACTACTAACCTTGGGAAAGTGTTTACCGAACCGTTGTCTAGCAATGGTCATATTCATCACAATATAGGTACCTGTAAGAATTTTTGGTAATAGGACGTTAAAAATATATAGCTTCCGTTGAATTCATATTTTCAGAATCCAAAATGACCTAAGCTAAGGACAACGGACATGACGTTTTGCACATAGAATGCAATGTCTGATAGGGCGGGTTCGCTCATGAGAGACGCGGAATAAATAACAGGTAAGTAGATTTAGTGGGAGTACAGGAGATCAGATGGGACAGAGGTGGCACCGAACCAGTAGGCGAATATACATTTTTCTATGGAAAGTGGAATGAGAATCATGAATTGGGTACAGGTTTTTGTACATAAGGGAATTATATCAGTATATCAGGAGATAGATGAAGAACTGTGTGTTTGCTTCATAGACTGGCAGAAGGCNGTAGAGTTCGTTAGTGATAGGATTCATACATAATACTAAGAGGTCACGGGTGTGATATTATCGTTCTGAATATTCATTCCCAAACAAATGATAAGCCGGTCACGGTAGTCGAGTGGTCTACTGCATGCACTGTCTTCGCTCGCTTGGAAACCGAGATCGTGGGTTCGAATCCCACTCAGGGCATGGATGATTGTGTGCGTTTTTCTGTGTTTGTCTACAGGTAGAGGCCTTGCGACGAGCTGATCACTCGTCCAAGGAGTCCTACCGTATGTGTAAGATCTAGAAAAACCAAAGTGAGCGGAGTTCATGGAGGTAGGCCAAGGCCCACGGGGGGCTGTAGGGCCATTGAAAAAAAAAAAACAAAGGATAAAGTTGATGATATGAAAGGCAGCTTCTACGAAAAACTAGAATGAATGTTCAATAAATTCCACAAATACCTTAAGAAAATCTTACTATATTTCAATACCAAAGTAGGTAGGGGAGACGTTTTCAAACCAACAACTGGGAATGAGAGTTTACACAAAATTAATAATAGTAATGGAGTTAAAGTACAATCTGCTAATTTCAAATATCTCACTGTCAAATGTTCATAACATCCTAACATTCATAAATTCACTTGAATATCTCCTGACCGAAAGACTCACAAGCAGATTGAACCTACTTTGGAAGATAGGAGGCAGCATTCAAGTGTACTTGATATCCAACCGTTCAGGACAGCAGCTTGTGATACTGACCACTATCTGGTGGTTGCAAAAGTAAGGGGAAAAAACGGGAAGTGAGTAAACAAACAAAGCACAGATTTCATTTGGAGAGGTTCAATCTCAAGAAATTAAATGAGGTAGAGGGCGAAGAGCGGTATCGTGCTGAAATCTCAAGTAGGTTCGCAGCTTTGGGAAACTTTAACGCTGAGGTGAATATTAATACGCGTAGAGTTTGTGAAACTATTAGAGGGAATATAAAACTATAGATTATTATGAATTGAAGAAGCATAAGTCATGGTTCGAATAAGGATGTTCAAAATTATTAGATCGAAGGAAATAAGTCATATTATAGTGGTTACAGAACCAAAGCGAATTAAATTGGGAAATTGAACAATATAAGAAGTGAAGCCAGCAGGCATTTCGGGAATAAAAAGAGGGAATATCTGAAAGCGAAAATTAATGAACTTGTAATGAATAGTATACATACAGGGTAAAAATTGGAAATCCAGAAGGAAAAAGACCACTATGGAAACCAATATGTAGGTGAGTGGATGATATTAAAATCGATCCTAAAGAGATAGTATGAGGTGGTATGGACTGGATCACTTTGGCCCAGGATAGGGAGCAGTGGATGGCTCTTTTGAACACAGTAATGAACTTTCGGGTTCCATAAAATGCTGTGAACTTCTTGAGTAACTGCACATTTGGCGCTTTCTCAAGAAGGGCTCAGTTTTAAGAATTTAGGTATTTTAGTTCAGAATCCAGAGTGAAAAATGGCGACTGCATGATATTTTTAGTTTGTTTCAGTGTAATAATGAAACACTAAAGCTAGGCGTGTGAAATTCTTTACTGAGATAGATCACAAACATAAGTACAAACTATATACGGACTACTGTGCATCAGTCAGTAATTGTAAATGTGGCGACGCTGCAAAGAATTTAATTAATAATTAATCTGCACTTAAGTAATGATTTTTTCCAAAAACTACAATAATATGAAGTACTATCTTCTGGAATGTAACGCCCTGTAGTCCGTTGAAAGTCAACAGACATTTCGGAGGAATATATCGCTCTGCTTGTCGTCTTGATTTTACGCTGGTATTTGCTCGGTTTATTCTTCGACCCTGAAGAAGTTGGGAATATGTTCCTCCGAAACGTCAGTTGGCTTTCAACGGACTACACGGCGTTCTATACCAGAAGATTGTATTTTTCATTATCACCGCTGTGATAATCTCAAATCGTACAAAGATGATAGTACTCTATCGTGTTTATAACTGCAAGCAACACAAATCTGTTCTGATTATGTTTCACTCTTGTGACCATTTGCGCATGAGTCGAGCACCCTAGCCCATCATCTAAACTGAATTATATTATTCTTTGTTTATTCACTTATATTAACAAATAACTACTGGAAGTTTACAACATGCAGGAAGGCTTTACGAGTTTTAACAAAAAGTCCTAGTTGTTAGCACACATCTATTTCATTGTCTAATTGACAGTAAAGGTTAAAACGACTCGGATGGCGTTTGTTGCAGATCAACATGAAACTCGGACCAGCTAGTGCCTGCTACACAATCTGCGTGTCGCTGGTACTCGCCTGTGCTACTCTACCCCAAGCCGCAGGGTACAAGCTGGCCGGAGGCGGCAGTGCTATTCGATCAGAGTTTGTGCCCACAGCCGTCGCTAGTCGAGCCTGGGATGGCGGCCTGGGAGGTGAACCTAGCTGCGATGAGCTGAGAGCCATGTGGCGATTCTCAAAACGACAGTCTCGAGCTGCTGAGATCACTAACGAAATTCCGACGTACAGAGACCCTTTCGCGTACAATATGTGGGAGCCGTACGCAAGACCACGGAGTGTCGTTGGAGGTAGACCTCGAGGATCCGATCGTCATGTGTACGGCCGAATCGTGTATTCCCCTCAGAGATCAAGGTCACGAGATAATTCTCCAGAACGTAACCGCGCCTACGAGGAAGTGGCTGCCCGTCTTGTCGGAACAGGGCAACCCGGAAAATCTATTGGCATTCCTCGCCGTAAAGTCACGTCCTTTAGATCATCAGGAGGGACCAGCCCTCATGTGGAGCACATACAGCACTACTCACCGCCAGCGGCGAGCAGTTTCGAGCAGGTCAGAGACCTGATCCGGGCAGAGAGGGCACGAGAATTGCAACAGCAACGCATGGCTGAGGAGGCCGCTGCAAGAGCAGCCTCCTTTAGGGGCCTAACTTCTGATTCTTATTATGGTAAAATAACTCACGAGCCTCCGACCCATCCGGGTGCCAACTCTGACGCTCTTTGGTACGGAGAACCTGGCCACTTCGGCAACAACATGCATGTGTCACAGAGCAAAGGCAGCCCGCTGGCTTTCTCTGATGTCCTGGAACCAACCGTGCCGCAGTACGAAGACCGTGATATTCATCTGTACAAACACAGATCATACCCAGACACGATTCCAGTAAGTAACATCTCTCTACAGTATGTAGTCCACAGAGAATATGACATCTCGTCACGTATTATATGAAGGAAAATATTCACGAATGTACGTATATTCCTACTCGTCTTTCGGTTACTCACTACGGAAGTTTAACAACTGTAACACAATGTCACACAGGGTTAGACAAAAGACAATGCATCTGAATTAATATTGGGAAATGTCAGATTTCAATTCAGATCGCCTTTTGTCTGACCCTGTGTGACATTGTGTTACAGACTGGTTGCTTCGTAAGTTACTTGGAAGTAAGTGGTAGTATAAAGCGCATTAGTTGAATTTCAATGGAATATGACATTAGTGTGGGTAGGATCAACGTAATTTTAAAAAGGAAGAACTATAGCAGGCTACGAGTGGTCTGTGTTGAAGTGCCATATTTGGCTGAGAGACTACCGGATTCATATGGCTCAGGATCAGTTCTTTCATTATTAATTTCTTCCTCATGTATTAGGCATTAAACTCCGTAAATTTGGAGTTGAAAGTCAACAGAGGTTTCTAAGGAACATGTCACCTCCCTCTGCAGGGTAAAAGAAAAAGCCAAGCAAGGAATTAGCTTAAAGGCAGTAGTCGATATTTTCTTCGGAAATGTCGAGTGACTTTCAGCAGACTATATCCCAGAGGGTAGAATACCCCGTAACCAGCGCTGTGAGAACCTGAAATCCTGCATCCGTATTTGCTACACATTGGCTTTCTAGACGTCTTCCATACACACGAACAGGCGAAGATCAAAATCTACGTAGAAATGATACTTCATGCAAGAGAGGGAGAGAGAGAGAGGGAGGGATGAATATACGGAAATAACGGATAATTACAGAGAAATACTATCCGCCTGGATGGATTGTATTTTTGATCCCCCAAATATGAAACTTTGATACTAACGGCTGCGTGGCCAAATCCCATTTTGTAATCAGAAGCATGAGAACTAAACAGTTTTCTGCTAGGAGGGCTGGATCTGCGGGCCGAAGCCAAGGAGATGGAGAGAGGGCTTGTGTGTGTGTCTTGAGCGTGGACTGCTCCTGGGCGCCCGATGGGCCCGTGGAGGGGCGCCCACATTTTGTACGGTTCACTGGTTGATCCTGCCAGTAGTCCTACTCTATGCTTATCTCCAAGATTAAGTCATGTATGTCTCAGTGCAAGCCACATTAAGGTGAAACAGTGAATGGCTCATTAAATCAATTAATACCGTCAGTATAGCGACTGCCTACGGGCTGGACAACCGAGAGGCTGGAGTTCGGGTCCCGGTAGGGTCAGAATTTTCTCTTCTCCGTATTGTCCAGACCGGCTCTGGGGCCCAGCCAGCTTTCTATCCAGTGGGTACCGGGGGCTCTTTTCCCGGGGGTAAAGTGGCAGGGGCATGAAGCTGACCACTCACCTCCAGCTAGTGCCGAGGTCAAGAAAATGTGGATCTATATATCCACTCCCCCATACGCCTTCTTGGTGTAGTGCTTAATTAGTTAAGCACAGGGACAGCTTTACCTTCTGCATTCAGCAACTTGCAACCAAACTTATTTGGCACTTATTAGTCACATGACTGCATGATTCGTCGCGTGCCAAACAGTCATTTGGATTCAGTTGGGGCTATGGCGACTTATCTTTTCTGGTGAAATATTTTGTTAGCTTGTTACAGATTTGAGGAGAAAATTATTTTACTCAGATTTCTCAGAAAAGTTTTTGGAAGAACAAAACATAAAAAAAAACGTTTAACTGGTGACGAGGCTTATGTCTTCTAGTCTGACCGGCAAGGATAGGCCACAATATCCAGTGAGATATTCCAGAAATTATGAATCCAAATATTAAAAAAGAAAATAATACCAACGTTAAAACTCGTAATCATACCTTCTCGAACCAAACTTCTTCTGGGAAAAGTCTCCTTTTGAATCACTGGAAGAGATTGAAAGCGTGAGGTGACAGAACCGAAAGGGCTTAAGGAAAGTAATTTCAAGCAATGATTGCAGCCACGGTAGACGTCACGATCCGTGTAAATGTCGGAGAGCTAATACAGTGTCATACAGGCTTCTTATTTCCGAGACCATGTTTAATCTATTTCTTCGCCAGCATCGTTGAAAAGTTGTCCCCTCGTGGCCCACAGGATGAGAGTTGGAATAAAATCAATCGTAGGGCAAAATGTATCGACCTATAAGATCAGAGACAATACAAAAATTGATTATATATATATACTGTGACGAATATGACCATTGCTAGGCAATGGTTCAGTTATCAATTTCCCGCTGCAAAGAATATACACGGATTAGTCCATTGCCGGGCAACGGTTCGGTAAGCACATTCACGTGGCAAAGAATAGACACAGAATAACAGAGGAACTGCAAGAGATGGTGATTTATATTCGGTTCGCCCCGAAGTTATGAAAGAGTTAGTTCAGTTCATTCGAGAGAGTGAGCCGTCGTTAGGTACTCGTCATTCGTCATTCGTCAGAGAATTGAGTAGCTGAGTAGCTGAGTAGCTGAGTAGCTGAGTAGCTGTGCAGTGTTAACCAGCGAATAACGGAGGTAGAAGTAGTGACCGATTCATAAATCAGAACCAGTCGGTCACAGTAGAAAAGAAACTCGTAGTGCAGTAAGGAATGGAGAGAGGCTTAGGCAACCATCGATCGTGAGCTGTTATAATTGATTGTAATTGTAATAGAAGTTCCAGTAAATCCAATCATCCAATCTAGAACCTGTTAGTATTGGTCATATAAACACCGGATATGTGAAAATTTTATATACATCGTATAGATACAAGTAACAAATATTGAAATTCTGGAAGATAAAAATGTCTGTATACCAAATAGGACCTAACAGAAGATAAAACCAAGAATTGAATGAGGAATCTGTATAGTACTAACATAAACCCGTAGACCTTTACCCGAGTATAGAGATAAAGTCCAGTCTCTGAAAGTTTTTCTTAAATAATAAACAGGACCACAGATAATGTCCAAAAAGTAGATAATTGTATTAACATATCGTTGTCACACATTTTTAGATCTCTATAAACCAAGTTTTAACGTCTTTAGTAGCAAATATATTTCTAACTAAACGCTAACTCTACCTACATTTTTCCGAACTTCCATCTTTGTCATTCTGTGTTACGTGGGTTGCCATTTACGCAGTAATATTCCTGTTTTAAAAGCTAATGTTCTCAGAAAAAATTACCGTAATATTTCTCCAAGAATCAAATAAAGAAGGATAGCTCAGATATTTGTAAACAATCCAGCCCTTTATAAAGCTCCACTGAATATTACGTCTCTCTGTCCAGACATCTAAATATGCGAAGAGTACACAGAGATTCAGAGTATCCATAACAAGCGGCTGTTTCAACTGCAGGAATTGTGCAGAATTGAAGGAGATGGGAAATTTCTCGTCGGTATTGATTAAACAATAATTTAGAAGGAATCGGTCTTAACGTATTACAAGTCACATCCAGCATTCTCCTGGCTAAACTGAAGAAATGATAAGAGATCTGAAAAGGAGAGATCAGTACAAAGGACAAGATTCTACTTGGACACATCCAAAATACAGTTACACATTTACCACTGAACCACCTTGCTCAATTGTAAGGTAAAATTGCCTCTAAGCCTAAGCATCAGTCTGTAAAGGAGTATGGAGACGTTGTGGTAAAGCGCCACTCTCCTATTTTCCTCTGAACTAGGTGAAATGTGTCTCATAAACACTCCAACTTTATATTATACTTTCGGGAAAACGAAACCCGGTAGCAATTAGACAGGAAGCTTGCGTGAGCCAGAGAGCTTATATTAATATGGCGTCCAATACAGTCATTTAACTTACTGAGCTAGTCCAGCTAGTTTCATGATCTAGCAAATTTCATGACAGTAGAAGAAATTATGCACATGGAATTTCTTTACAGCTAGACGCGTCAAATATAGAACGAAAGCCCTGTTGTGGTGGTTGGCAGCCCTGTCCCTATCACTTTAAAGAAAATATACCATAGTAATCAACCGCTAAGCTATAGAATGGCCTGAGTGTTCTGTGAAAGTGGTTATAGTTGTATGATGTTGATGTGGCCACTTAGATTTTATAATAACGCACCGGTGAAAGACATTTGCCCGATTTAATTTCCTTGCGAGTTACTTTCTGACTGCCTCTGTGGTCTAGTGGTCAGAGTTCCTACCTACAGATCCAGAGGTCCCGGATTCGATTCCTGGTCCTACCAGATTTTGTGAGAAGTTCTGGGTCTGGAACGGGGTTCACTCAACCTCGTATGGATAACTGAGGAGCTACTTCAAGGAAATAACGGCTCCGGTCTAGAAAGCCGAGATTAACGGCCATGGGGATTCATTTCGCTGACCACGCGACACCCACCTATCCGCTAAAGTTGGCACCAACTTCGCCGAGAAGCTGCGGTCGCTCGGTCGGTATAGTTCGCTGCGGACTAAAACCACGGAGTCTGTTCTTTTATTTGTGAGTTACAATCCATTTCAATAATTAACATTTCTCTGCACGGCGTCAAGAAATAGGGAGATAGAGGAAAAGCGACAAGCCAAGTTCTCAGGTTTGTTAGAGCTACTTTATTCAGAACACATTAGATAATAAACGATATAAATATAATTGTAATGATCAGATATAGAGTTATTAAGATATAAATCACACGTGAGCCTTGATCGCATAATTTTAATACTCCACATACAAAAATGTATGTTTTATAAATTTTGGACTGAAGAGAGATGAACGGAAAGATGAAGGATTTTGCAACTACAGTCTGTTTACGAATTATTTCTTCTCATTTTTAAATATTTCTTAATATGCACCCTTAATATCCTACATATGACTAACCTTTAACGATACTATTTCTAAATTTGAGAGGCAATTTCGTTCTGGTAACTAAAGTACTTCTGTCTGCACCTGTTACTAAGCGCCTCTTTGTAACAGTCTTATTCAAATCGAGGGCTTTAAAGCTGAAAGGCTGTAACATGCAAACTATCGGAACACAGTACAACAAAATGTGATTAC